TGGCACACACCTATTAAGACCGACACTCAGGATGCAGAGATGGAAAGATTGGAAGTTCAAGATCAGTCTCGGCTGCATAGAGTTCAAAAGGAAGGCAGGCTCCAAATGTCAATCAGACAGATCCATGTGTCAATCAGACAGATCCATGAGCTGATAGCTCCAGCCAAGACAAAGTTACTTTTATTCTCTGCCTCTGTTTCCCATGAGAAGTAGAGATACTAACTACGATCTCAGAGAGCTGTTGGAAGGACTTAACTATGCAAACAAAGTATTTAACTAGTATCTGACTAGTTAATCGCGACACTAGGGAAGCAGAGGCAGGTGGATCTCTGAGTTCGAAGTCAGCCTGGTCTACAGAGTGAGTTCCAGGATAACCAGGGCTATACAAAGAAACCCTGTCTTGAAAAACAACAACAAAAACGTGTCTGGTGGAAATTCAGCATGTAGTTTAAGGAGCACAAATTATTAGAAGGATTATTTACTAAATGAATGGTTGGAGAGAGAATATTGAAATTAGACCTGTCCCTGTCCTACAAGTTTTATTCCACAAGACCTCCATATATAAGAACATCCTCTTTCATTGTGTCCTGAGGCTCCTGGAGACTCCTAAGCTCTACTTAGGGCTCAGTAAATTGTCTACAAATATAGACGGTAAATATAAGCCTGGCGTAGTGGCGCATGCCTTTAATCCCAGCACTCAGGAGGCAGAGGCTACATCTCTGTGAGTTCGAGGCCAGCCTGGTCTACATAGTGAGTTCCAGGGCAGTCAGGACTATACAATGAGACTCTGTCTTGAAACACCACTACTACCACCACCTCTACCCCCTAAAATGATAAACACAGGGTGTGTGCAGAGAGACGATTCACAAATGAATGAATGAGTGTGGCTGTTCTGACGACAGTTTTATTTATAGAAACAGGCGATGCCCATCTGCTGTGCAGGCTCACACGGGGCTTCATAAAGGGCTGACAGCCTTAAACAAATGACCCTGACCTTTCCCACAAAGCTCCAAGGCAGGGGTCTTAAGGTGCCATCATCTTTTCTCACCCTTGAGGACTTCTACCTAGCAACTAGAGATGCTCCTGAGTGGAGGGGTGTCAGAAGGCCTCTCAGACACAGCAAGGCCAGGACAATGGCAGACCCAAGCCACGGTCTCTAGGCAGTGAAAACAGGAACCAGATTGTGTCTCTGAAACCGATGACTGTCAACTCAAAAAGCACCAGAACATAAAAACAGATGTGGCGGTGGGTGGGGACAGCTGGGCTCCTCAGTGCCTCTGTGTACTCTGGGTTCCCTCCATAGCCACAGGTGGTCTAGGAAGTCCAGGGCTGTGGGCAGCCCCACCCTGAGTAGTAACTGTCTGGGCATTTAACCACATCTGTGTTTAAATGGGGACACCATACTGCCTGGCCTTGTACTCATGAGACTAAAATAAGAAAAATTAAAAGTGTAAAATTTATACCTAGGCTAGCAGCTTATTCAACCATGAACTGAATGAAAAAAAAAATACTAAAACCAGCTGACAATGTTCCTGGTTTTGATGGTCCAAGAAGTCGTGACACCAGCAGTCTGGGTTTGTAGGTTTAATACCCACAATGCTATGAGGCAGGCATGGTCCTCCTTACTATTTCACAAGCAAGGAAAACAGGTTTTGGAGAAGGGACACATTCATGGCCCCACAAGCACTGGCTGCAGCAAGGGCGGTCGATTTTTACGAAGGCCATTACACAGCCATGATTGGTCAACGCTGGTGAGCAGCTCATACGGAAGCTGTTACATAGCCATGATTGGTCAAGTCTGGTGAGCAGCTCATACGGAGGCCACTACACAGCCATGATTGGTCAACGCTGGTGGTCAGCACATACGGAGGCCATTACACAGCCATGATTGGTCAAGGCTGGTGATCAGCTTATATGGAGGCCATTACACAGCCATGATTGGTCAACGCTGGTGGTCAGCTCAACCCCTGCCCTGGATAATCACCAGGGATATCTTGAGGTCTGCTGGGTGTGTTTTCTAACAAACACACACGAATGGAATAATCCTCCGGTACACTGTGAAGATGTGTTGTTCTCATTGTTAATGAAAAGCTGATCGGCCAATGGCTAAGCAGGATTTGGGGGAATGAGAGAATGTTAGGAAAAAGAAAGGGCAGAGTCAGGGAGTCACGAGAGTTCTGAGCCAGACCAGGAAGAGGCAACATGGGACGTTCATAGACGAGGTAAACAAGCCTCAGGGCAGCACCCAGATGATAGGAATGGGTTCATTTAAGTTGTAAGAGCAGGCTGGAGACAAGCCTAAGCTCTCAGTCGAGCATTATAATTAATAATGAGTTTCTGTGTGGTTATTTAGGGAGCAGCTGGTGGGACAGAAAAGTCCACCTACATATACCTACATATCGATTTATCTCCCCCCTTCTAAAACCAACAAGATGCTAATGTACATGCTGCTGGGGATGTGAGCCTCTCGTGTTCCTGGCCACCTTTCACTCCCAGGAAGTTACCTACAGTGGGAGTGGAGGGGAATATGGCTGAGCTCACTGCTCCTGAAGTCAAGCCAGGGCTAGGTGGGCACAGACACACAACGAACCATGGCCTGCGGCTAGGAACAGCAGGCTTTCGCTAGGCCCTAGATAGAGACTCAGAAACTAGGAACGGCCGATCTTTGGGAAAGGGTTCTGGCCACATCAGCTTAGGAAACAATGAGTTGAAAGACATAGACTTTTGAGACAGAGACCAAACCTCTCAGAGGAGGCAAAGGCTGTAAAGTTCTCTAGACCTCATTTGATCTCGAACCCTTGTTTGTAGGTATCACTTGGTGTATGGGTGCTCCAAGTGCCCTGGGCCTCCAGCACAGCAGGGGGCCAGTGTTCCTAACAAGGGTGTCCCCGCTCAACCAAATGTCCCTGCACAGAGCTGCGCTTTCCGGATGAGGGATGACTCTGAACTCCGTCCTCAGTGCCTGGAACAAAAGTGGAGTTCTTCCCCAGATATTGGAGCTTGGCTCTGTGAAGCCACTCCTAGGAGGTAGAAGAAGCTGAGATGGATATAGCTAAGCATGTGGCCTGGGCCTTGGGGAGACCTATGCACCAGACGCTTGGTGATAGGGATACCGCAAGAATTCCTGAACAGAATATAGGGTACCGAGGTAGAAACAGTTTACCTCTGTACATTCCTCATGTCTGGCAGGGCACCAGGGTTTGAAGTATAGTCCTAAAGGCGCTATCCTTGGGAGAGAATCCACACTCTGCTGCCAGAGTCTGTGTGACCACGGGCAAGTCCCCAAACTCTCCAAACCTATTTTCCTTGCTTGTGAAATAGCGAGAAGGACCATGCCTGCCTCAAGGCATTGTGGGTATCAACCATAAGTGAGCACCTATCAGGATGCTGGTGTCACAATAGAACATCCCAAAGCACCAGGTCTAGGGAGTTTTCAGGAAGCAGGACACACGGGGGGCGGTGATTCGTTGAGATGGCATGGAGCCTCCGGGCCCTGCTACTGCATCTCCTCCTCTAGATCACTGTGTGAGAAGCAGGTAATCTAGGAAATGAACCATTCCTACGTCTGTGGACTGATCCAGCAAATCACTGAACCTGAAAACAGGTCATAGAAGCTGTAGTTTGCAGCTAAGTGAGACAAAAGTTTTGGGTGGCCTGGCACCTGCTTTGTGAGTAGATTGATAGATAGTCTTACGGCTCTGAGCCTATTGGCTAATGTCAAGATTGAACTAAATTGTAAGGGACACCCCCTACAGAGCTCATCAGAGTGGGGGAAACCCCACCTTTTATCATAGATGTAGTCTGTGTTGAGCATAAGAGTAGAGAAAAAGTGGTATTTAGTTTTCTAACTAAACAGATGCCATGTGCAGGAATCGATCTGCTCAAACGCAGATTAAATAATAAGAACAAAGCGACACTTTCTAGAATGTGTCATACCAAAAATGACACAAGGACTTTAGAGTCCCTGTGAGAAGGAAGTCATGTGACCATGATCTGACCCTTGGCCACCTTGAAAGAGAGGTAATATCTTTGTAATATCTACTGGCTGGCTGTGAGAATGAGGGAGAGGAGGGGAGACACAAGACATGCCTTCTCTTCCCTGGAAACAGGCTGCACGCAGTACACAAGTCCCGTCAGTGACATCATCCAGCCCCAATCCACAGTGTCCAGAGGAGACTGTAATGATGCCAAGAAGCCGAGCAAGCCCCAAATCTCTGCTGCAGGGGTAGCCAGGAACCCCTACCTCCACCTGCACGGAAGCCTGCAGGCTCATCTCTGAGTCATGCTTGCCTGTAGGGTGCCCTCCTGATTCTACAGCTCCCTTAAAAGGATCACCCACCACACACCAGAAGCCACCACTCTCAGCCTGGCACAGAACACCAGCCACCCCCTCATTATTCACAGAAACAGATGACGAAGACTGACATTTTGGGCCGCAAGGCAATGCACAGGAATACAAGCTTCCTGCTCCCTCTTTGAGGATGGCTCCTCAAAAGAATGTTTTTACCCTCCCTGCCCTTCACGCCTTTATGATCCATTGAAAACTTAAGTGAGCAAGAACCAGGCTAATAAAAATGAAATGACTTTGCCTATAACTTCACAGTGACCACCACCCGGTGGGTGCTGGCTGGTGAGCCCCTGCCCCCAGCACCAGCTTCCAGGTTTGGGGCTCCCATTGGTCCCTTTGAAGAGAACCACTTCTGGTTCTCCACAAATGCCTGTCTGGGCTCCTCCTGTTCATGCCCAGGTTTTACTGCTTCAATTGTTCCTACGACATGGCCTTCTGAACACCCCATCCAACATGAGCCTAACCCAAGCAAGCTAGCTCTAAGTAGTTCTCTAGAAGAGTGCACATACATGCACACACACGTGCACACAAACATGTATGCGTGTACACACACACACGTGCACAGGAAAACAGCCGGAACCGAGTAAGGCAGGTGTGGAAAGCCCAGGCCCAGAGAGAAGCATCCAGGGCTTTCTAGACCAACAGCACCTACCCTTTCTTCAGGTTCTTCACATACGCACTCTGGAGGGCAGCTTCCAAGAAGTACGTGAGTTCATAGTCAGCTGAGGGGCTGCCTTTCAGGTGCCGAGAGGCGCTGTTGTTTGAAGTCTGAGGAGGGAGAGTAAAGGTACAGTGTCATCGAAGAGTTCAGAGGAGGCTTGCCAGGACATCAGGGGAAAAGCGCATGATGTCTATGAAAATGAGAAGTGGAAGGAGCTCCTGACATAGCTGTCCATCAGTGATCCCAGTGACCTTTGTGAGGGTCAACTCAACCAAATCTCTGAGCAGCCTCTGCCAGAAAATGGGTACTGAGGCCTGACTGTAATCTCTCCTCTTTTCTTGATAGCCAACCAAGTCAAGAGGCTCCAGGGCAGAGAGATTTGGCCCTCAGAGGACATCTGGTTGTTCCAATTTGGGGTGTGAGCTGCTAAAATCATATAATACTAGGGTGGCTCTCATAGCAAAGAAGATTCCAGACTCAAAAGTCAATAGCACTGGGGTCAAAAGTCCCTTGATTAATGACATGATTGACCCAAGGTAGACTATTCTGGAAGGGCCAATTCTGAGAACAGGTGGCAGCTAACTCTGCCATTTACACAAAGACGTTTGGCTATCGTCTGGACTATTATGGGTCTCAGTTCCCATCCACCCCTTCCTTCATGCACCAATTCTAACTCACTCTGCTAAAGAACCTTCTATCTGCCGGGTGATGGTGCTGCACGCCTTTAACCCCAGCACTCAGGAGGCAGAGGCAGGTGGATTTCTGAGTTCAAGGCCAGCCTGGTTCACTGAGAGAGTTCCAGCACAGTCAGGGCTACACAGAGAAATCCTGTCTCGAAGGTGGGGTGTGGGGGAGCCTTCTCTCTCACATTGACTAAATGTCCACAAAACATAATTTCTACTTGCGTACCACAAAGCTACACACAAAAGTCAGAGATTAGGCCCTGGCATCCCTGCCAATGCTGCTCACTGACTGCATGAACTCAGGAGGCTGTGGGAACTTCTCTCTAATCCTGACTCTTCGTCTATAAAGTGGGAATAATAGCAGCACCTATTGTATCCCCTGTCACTGGGGGTTAAGTGACAGGAGCCCTCAGAGCACGGCTTGACGGCATGACGTGAGAGTAGTTCCTCAACACAGGGCGGAGCTAAGATCCTCCACGAGGCGCACTGGGGGTCGATGCCCTGTGCAGTTAAGACAGGCCCGCCATGGGAAGGCGGGAACTGTGGGGCTGAGAACTCGCTCAGATCCGGCTCATGCCTCTGTCCACCTCTGAAAAGTTTGGAGAATGGGCACCACAGCCCATCTTCCCTGGACTTCAGCAAAGCTCTCCTGAGGTGCCAGGAAGCAGGGAAGGATGACAAAGGGCAAGAGTCAGCACGGCCCTGTGCTGTCCAGGAGCTCCTGACATAGCCAGGGTTTGATCTCTCTAAACTTCATTTACTACAGGACTGCCTGTGACGCCTCTGACCCAGGGCTGCTGTGAGGAGTTATCAAGTGAATACATAAACAGGCTGTCACATCTGGCCGGCACACAGAGCTCACCATGGGGTTCTCGCGTGACACGGACCCACTTGTTTATTAAAAGTCTCCCCTGTGGCAGAGTCCCTAACAGAACCAGGGCACCATGATGAATTCTCCAACCAAAGGAGTGGCATGTCGGGAGCGTAGGTGCCTTCTTCTAGTACCCAGTTTGTGGTCAAGGGAGAGCAGCTGCTTGTAAAGCACCCCTATTCCCAGCTCACCTTCTCCAACTCCTGCAGGAACACCTGAGCCACCCAGGAGGCCCTCTCAAAACAGGCAACCACTTCCTCCTCCCGCTCTGTCAGGCGGATGTGGGAGGCGATGGAGTTGGGCAAGCGTTCCAGGGAGAGGCCTGCAGAGAAACAGAAAGCCTCAGACCTGCCCTGCTTAGGCCTGGACTCCAGGCCTTTCACGGGCACAGGGTAGGTACATCTGAGGGGATGTATGACATGGAGCAGCCAGTGGAAGGCTAAGGTCCACGGAGGGGAGGGGAAGCTGGAGCAACAGTGGTGTTAGCAGCAGCTGGGAGCAAGCAATGAGCCAAGAAAGGGCACTGGGGCCCCATATCATCACGAGCCACCATCATGGTCCTACCGTGCCGCCCCTGCCCATTGCACAAGTCCAGCAGAAGATCAGTCCCGTGGAGCTCACCGCTCACCTCCAGGCAGTTATCCGTGTTGACATGCTATCTGCTTGCAGTGGATGCCTGCGGCTCTGGCCCTGTCTTTCAGCGGCGACAACCCGCTTTTCCTCTGACCACCCTTCATGGTGACAAACCAGGGGTAGCAACATGGCTCCATGTGGGCCAATAGGAACCAGTCTCCCAATTGCTACTCATCTCACTGGCACTGTTAAATGGGTGCTAGTGGCTAACCTGGAAAGGCTAGAGAAAAATCTGCCTTCAAAAATGTCTTGGGCTAAAGAAACTGGCTCTTCAATTAGAAGCATTTGTTGCTCTTCCAAAAAGCTGTATGGCATCTCACAATGTTCTGTAACTCCAGTTCCAGGGAAGCCAATGCCCATTTCTTACCTCAGTGAGCATCAGGCACGCATGCACACAGCACATAGAAATACATGCAGGCAAAACATTCATACACATAAAATAAATAAATCTTTAAAAAAAACCTGTTTTATATCTAGCCATACTGGGTGACAAATGCTTATAATCTTAGTACTCAGGCAGTACTTAACACTGTGGCAGGAGAGTCACGAGTCTGAGGACGACCTGAGACAATTTACTAAGACCTCGTCTCAAGAAAACAAAAAACAAAACCAACCAAACAAAATAGGGTCCACACAGAGTGAATATAAATGACACTACTCAACTGCATACATTAAATTAAATTTTATGTCATGTCATTTTCTTTGCCGCAGCTAAAATGTCTTTAAAACTAGTTAAGCATATAGCTCCAAGGGTCAAAGAAAAGTTAATAAACCAATCTGCAAAAGAAATAGAAGGAAAAGCATTCTTAGACTGTTGGGGGTTCGGGAGAGAGAAAGCCCACATAGAATAATGATCAGACATGTCAGAAAAGTGCAGATTCCAAAACAGTGTTGGGATGGCCAGGACGCCACCTTCTCTGAAGCTCCACCGCCTAGAAAAGTCCATGTACGAGCCAACATCCATCCACCCACATACGCTCTTTTTTCCTTTCTTTGCTTTGTCAAAGTCGCTTTACTGAACCATGTCTGCTGCCTGCAGCTAACACAGACCTGACTAGAGAATGCCGCCCCCGGGACTTGGGTTTCTCAATGGGCAGAACCAGTGTGTCTCTCCTCTCCATGCCCCACGTTACCTTGTGTGTAACAGGTACCCAAGACAACTTAGTCATGGGAAGGATTAAGAACACAGTCCTCTAAGCCTCCACCCACTTCTCTAAGCTGCATCTCTCCAGTGGGTGGCCACAGTGGCCTACTACCTGTGGTCTCGCTTTACTCTAACCCAAACTGCTTCCAAGGGGACCTTTCCAAAGTCCCCAGGGGTGCTTCCTACTACAGAGGAGGTCTAAACTAGGGTTGCTTCACCGGATGTCCGCCACGAGCTATCCAGATCACCTTTCCAACATCTTATCTTACTTTACCTGCTTCTTCCACCCCAACTTCCTGCGGGCAATGCTTCCCACCTGGATTTCACCACCCCACCAAGTCCATGAAGCTACTGATCATCCTCTGACCTACCGAATGCCACCTCCTCTATGAGGTTCTTCCAGACAAACCAACTATTCTCTCCTCTCGGTCGTGGCTTATACTTCTCATGTCTCACTGTTCCTTATACTCATTCTTCATATGATCTCCCAAATAGATGGTAGTAGGCTCTTCCTAGCACCAGTTTAATGGTGTTCAACTGTCCTCCACCTGACACACAGTAGGACCAGACAAGCACAGGCTGTCTGGGTGGGGAAAGAAGCCAATCGTGGCCCACAAAGTACAAAGTGCTCTGTCAATACAAGGAAAGAAATTAGCATTGTTTTTCTTGGCTACAATATCAGCACATACAGATTCAGTGACCTCGTTCTCTTGCCAGGCTGGGGTGTGACCACGTTCCAAAGGCCAGGAACCTCAGCCTGGGGGAAGGTAGGCACAGAATGTGAAGGCCATTGCTCAACACAAAGACCCAATCACCCAGGCCACGAGTGTCAACATGGTGTCTGCCAAGTGACTCACTATGGAGAGCAGAAAGATCTTCACTGCAGGACCAGGGAGGAGGAACAGAAAAAGGAGGCAGGAGGCAGGCTCCATGACCTCTCCTACAGCTGGCCCAGACCTCCTTCCCCGGTGTGCTGCATGCCACCGTGCAAGAAGGTAGGACAAGAACAAATTGTTCAAGAAGGCCAGCCCGGAAGACTAAGTGCAGGTGACAGGAGCCGGCCAACTCCATGAGGCACAGAGTGGATCTGCTCCAAGACAGCAGCCGTATGGCACCAGGAGATGAGCTATAGTGGACTCCCTTCTGCACACTTCCTGCTCAGGCTGCTGAAGTCTCCCATGATCTGGCTGCTGCAAAGGTGAATTGAGGACACTGGTATAGGGCCTGCACTTTCCTCCCTGTGCTACAATTGTCCCCACTGCCTACCTCCCCATCCCCCACCCCAACCCCCAGGGCAAAGCTTACCACCATGCTTTTCCAAGATACTAAGCCCACTGTTACTAGTAAGCGCAAAGCAAAACTACCTCCTCCTCGAGACCCTCTGTAATGTTTTCAGTATTGATGGGCAAGGGGATAATGTCATCCACAACTCTGAGCACATCCGTGAAAAGGATTTTCTGGACTGGGTAAATGGAGGTAGAAAGACCCACCCCAAATGTTGGCAAGACATTTGGGGTGGGTCTTCTATGGGCGGTGGTTACAGAACAGCCTGGGAGTGTAATGTGACCAGCAATGCCTTCCTTCCCTTGACATCACGGATTTCTGCTCAGACCTTAAGCTGGAATAGGTTCTTCCTTCCTTGAGCTGCTGTTGTCAAGGCTCTGTCTCAGCACTGAGGGAAGTCGCTAACACCCTCTCCCTCTGACTCAGCAGAGAATATTAGCTGCATTTCCGCTTTGTGTTTCTTTTTTCTGGGTGGCTCTGGGGATGGAACCCAGACAGGCACGCTCTAGGCAAGAGCACTACCAATGCTGTAAATTACCAGCCCTGTAACTCCTGCTCATATACTTTTATTCTGGGTTGTCACCGAGCTATTCCTGATGAGCAAAGCCAGGCAGGCTCAGTTAGTGCCTGGCAGGGAGAGGTTCAGCCCTCCATTACAACAAACAAACAAACAAAAAGCTCTTGATGAACCCACTCACAAACTGTGGCAGAACCTTGAGGCTTTGTCAGCCAGCCTAATCTATTTGGTGAGTTCCAGACTGTCCCCCACCTGACACTATTTGGTGAGTTTGGGACCCTGTCTCAAAAGACGCTAACTGGCCTCGAGGAAAAAGACCCATGACTGTCCTCTGGCATGCACATGTATCTGCAGAACACATATGTGTAGTCATGAAATACACACGTGCACACAAACACAGACACATATGGATATACGCAAACACACACAGAATAACGTCTTATAAGTTATAATATTCAAATGAAGCAAGCCATCCAAAAGTACACACTATATGATTTCACTTATATGACAGTCACCATATTAGCGAAAGAGAACCAAGGGTCACCTGGGAGATGGTGGCGAGGGTCAGCTGGGAAGGGTGCTGGGAAACCTTCTAGGGTGGAGGAACTGTTCTACTTACAGTATGTTGGCTCTGCGGGTATTCAGACTAGTTCAAATCATCAAATTATACACTTACAATCTATATGAGCTCACAAATAGGAAATTTTGTTTGAAAATAAGGAGATGATGTCCTTTTTAAAAAGAAATATAAGGTAGAAGTTAAGCAGATGTGCTCATTGAGGTGATTGATCTTCTACAGGATACCTTTCTTTCTTTCATTTGTATTTTATGTGTATTTGAGTTTTGCCTGTGTGTGTGTCTGTACATCATGTGTGTGCCTGGTATCCAGGGACACCAGAAGAGGGTGTTGAATCCCTTGGAACTGGAGTTACAGATGGTTGAGAACCACCATGTGGTTGCTGGGAATTGAACCTGGGTCCTCTGGATGAGGAGTCAGTGCACTTCCACTGAGCCATCTCCCTCCAGCTCCTGTAAGATAACTTTCAACATGCTTAAGACCAATAAGGTTCCCAGAGCCAGAAATCCTGGGATCTAATGACTAAGAAGGCCTACTTCCCGTCCACCGTGTTTGGAAACTCACATCAACCCTAAGAGTTCCCTCCTCCCGATGAGTCCTTCTACACAACAGCACAGCACCAGGTCCAGGGGGAGACAAGCAGCTCTTGAGCCCACCCCAAAGGTTCCTGGTGGCTGTGAACCAACCCTGTGGTCTAGGCAGGAAGCCAGCAGTTCCTTGGCACTGCTTCCTGTGCCCCCTGGCCGATGGGGACTTTCTGTGAAAACAACATCAGCAAGCCAAGGAGGGCCCCTTTCAAAGGAACTCATGAGCTCCACATTTTCCAGGTCCAGCCCTGGCCTTAGCACCAGGCTGGTTGCAACGCCTTCAGTCTGAGATGAATCATTATATCCCTGTAGCAGGCCTTCCAAAAAGTCCCACCCTTGGAGCCTCAAAGCCTTGGGCGCTGGATACAGAAGTGGAGTCCAGAGCAAAGGAGGCTTTCTTTGCTAAGAAACTTCCTCTCCAAAAAGGTAACATTATCTATTCACCCACTCTGCCGGTGAAAGGGCACCACAGCATGTACAGAGGACGTTTGATCTTGGGTTTACCAAGCATGGGCACCCTGAGTGGCTGGGGAGAAGAAAAGAAACCCGATTTATTCTTTAACCTGAAGGTCAGGTGGGC